CGGCGGTTCTGACAAATGAGCAGCATCTTGAGAAACGGACGCGTATAGACGGACGCTCAGACGGGTATACCTAAATAGACTCAACTTGTCAAAGGGATCATTTATGTATATACAATACATACGTTTTCGTCTGTATGTTACAAAGTTTGATTTGAGTTTCATTTTGTAATACATTATAAATGGTATCTCAGAGTGTACAAAAAAATTATTTTTATTATTATTATTAATAATTTTTTTTTTTTGAAACTTGTTATTTCGTGAGCGTCGCAAAAAAGAATGTGGCTGGCTCCGGGCGATTTGGTCGCTTGAGGACATCTGAAATAACAAAATCAAAAAGTTTATTGTTCTGTAAGCTTGTATTATTGGTTGGAACTACGTTTTAACACTTTAGTTGATAAATCAAAAATAAAGTTGAAAAGAAGTGACTTTTTTAAAGTAAAAATTGGTCTGTAAATTGGAAGGGTGGCGTTAAAAAAAGATCCTACTTCCTGCGAAAGCTATTGATGAGTAGAATATCATATTCAATTTCAGCCCAATCGGTAGAATTTTTGTATCACGTAGGCCAACTGTAAGAACAATGTTTCGAAAAAAACGCGTTTAAAGTTTCAACAAACGATTAAATATGTTATGTAATAACAAATTGTTAATTAAACCGACTAGTGCTGAATTTTAATATTAAAATAATTGTTGTACTAGTTAAACAAGCTAGTAACCATCAGCTGCTGTTTTTAACTAATGAGAAGATGAGACACGTGCTTCTTTATAATTAGAACCGATTTTTACTAAAGTTTGGCAATCTTTTTTTGCGGAAGTTGACTGTTACAACAAATGTTAATTGTTAACTGATGTGCAAATAAACTCAAAAATATATGACTAATTATTATTCTTAGGAGAATTAGCACTTAATGAGAATAATATCTAAATGAGAACCTTTGAAATTAGATAGAATCATATTGTAAAACACTGTGCTAATTAAGATGGTATTTTCAACAAGTTTGCTGAAACGTAAAACATAATAAACACCTCGAAAACTTCACATGATAACAACAAAAGGGAAAATCTGAAAATTAATTTTTTCTGGGATAAAATTCTTTACTAATATATGTATATTAGTGGTGAATCATTCTCAGCTGTATTTAATTTTGGAAATATATGTAAGTCAATAAATATTTCAAAATTATTTTCTATAAGTGCAAATTTTTGCACAGCTGTGCAACTGTTGGTACTTCACCTGCATTTAGTTCACCCTTATAAATATTTTACAAATTGATTTACACCCTTCAATCGCTCACACGCGCTCACGTCACCAGCCTCCATAATTACCGTTATAGCACGTCAACACTTCAACAGCTCGTGAACCCTTACCCCTTCCAAAAAACATCGTTTGGCATAGGCCAGGGTGTGCAACGGCTACAAAAGCAAACAATGATTATGAATAAATATTGCTCACAATAGAAAGAGTATAATGAAAGCAAAATGAAAAAATAAAAATAAAATAAAATAAACGGAAAACAATCAGCAAATGTCTGACAGAGAATTTCTAAACATGTTTACTTTGCATTTGTTATTGTTACACAGCGGCGGTCACACCCACTTGATTGTTGCCACATAAGCCCCCGCTATTTTCCGGTGCTTCTTTACCGTCGCCTTTCGACCTTAAAGAGTTAATTTTTTTGCTATTAAAAATATCAGCTGCTCGCAATGGCTTTCCAGTTTGAGCGCTTTTGCTGTTTTCATCGTTTTGGTTGTTATTTTTTCTTCTTCTTCCTCTTCTTATGCCTCTTATTGCTACTGACACCATTCACACCGTCCGACTCGCAGCGCATGCGACACGCTGTTTAACACACCACACGCGTGCACATGTGCGGTCATACGGCGGCAAGCGCAGCCAAAGTATCCCGGTTTTATTTAAAATCAACAAATCCACTTCCTTCCTGTGTGACGCAACGCGACAACAAGGCAAGTTTAAAATTAGCCGCCTACATCGCTGCTGCCACCACTGCTGCTGACATATCATCGACAATAACGACGCCGAGTGGCATGAAGTAGCAATAAATAAACACACTTGCAACGCGATTGTTCTTCCCCCTGCAACGTCAAGCACGCGGCATGTTTACAAGCTCCTAATGGCTTACGGCTGCCAGCTGTGTTGTTGCCGTGGGACTTCCAGTCAACAAAAGCGGTGCAACATGTGTTTAGCAACATTCAAATGTTTCATATCATATACGAGTATATATGTAGATTCTTTTCACTCGAATGGAAAAGGGTGCAAAGTGATTTGCTTGGAAACTTTATATAATAAACGTGAACTATATATATATATTTAAATTAATATATATAAAAATATTATTATTAGGTGCTTTTAAATTAAAAATGTATATGGATTTTGCAAGTGAAAGCGGCAGTTTTTGTTGGTTAGAATGAACATAGTAAGCACTCCGCCTCTTTCTCTTGGTTGGACGTAATGTTGCACGTGGAAATCACCATCTTTTCGCTCATTAGCCTCTCAAACAGTCTATCAACGGGTATGTTTACCATTTAGTGAATTTTCGGCTCGAATTCTACTAAATGCAAAATCCGAAAATTAAAACGTTGTATGGGTTAGTTAAAGTAAAGTATATGATGACTGATGCCTTCTGGAGGATCAGGAAGAAGATCCAAGGTATTTTAGCCTTCAATGTGCAAAGACGGGAGATTCAAGAAATATGTGTTAAAATGATTTTACCACGTCTTTTTTCAAGAACCTTCTATAATTGACCTTCGATAAAATTTTTAATCTTAGCGTGTGAACTCCGATTGGGTACTGATCAATTACAACCTCCACAACTCCCGAACGGTTCACGGACTGAACGCAAAGTTTTATTTCGAGGCAGAAGGAAAGAAAGTGGAAACGTTATTTTCTGATTTGATTGTTCCTCAGAAGGTAATTCTAAGGCCTAAGAGTGTTTCTGATATAAGAAAGCCTTTCATATAATATCATTTACTTATAACACGTATAGTATAGTTACAGTATCAAGATAATTCTACTTCGATTGAATTTCCTTGAAATAGCAGTTTTGAAAGTTTGTTCCTAGATATAAAAGTGGTGGATCGCCTGACATGAGGTAACAGCAATATTATAAAGTCTTATTATTCCAGAATTTCGATTCGGAAGCTACAAAAACAAACAGAAATTTTTTGTTTAGACACGATAGTGAGATAAAAGGATTATTTTAAAGTTTTATTTTTCGAAATGTTTGTGTATATAAGATCGATGTTGTCAAAAAGTATACAGATTTTAATTCTTAATATAGATAAATCCATTTATAATGAGGTTTGGGTACCTTATTTTGTGTGGTCCCATTAAGTGTCCACTTTCTCAGTAACTCTTAAATCTTAAATCAAATTCGCGCTCAAACCTCAAATAAGCGTGTGCTTGCTCAACTCAATGGATTGGGGTTGATTTGAGCCTAAATGCGTGCTTGATTTGTGTTTGTTTTGCTTGCATTTTTCTAACTCTTCTGTTCTTTCTACATAATCAACTTGCGGGTTGTGGCTTTTTTTGCAATTTGTGCTCAAGCATACAACACGGCTCTGTAAAATTATCCGCATTCAGTTGCCTGTCAACATGTTGAGTGTGCGTTTCGCGAAGCGGCTGTTTTATTCGTGCCTGAGTCATAAATTGCTCTTAAATGCGACTGATTTATGCGAGTGTGGTATAAAGAATATTATTGTTTTGCTTAAGTTTCGGTCGCTTAAAGACATGTGTAAAATGTTTTTGGAATTTTAATTACCAATTATGAAATATTTACGCTACAATCATTCTATTTATAAACTGAAAGCTTCTTATAAAAAGTCGGAGAATAATTTTTAAGTAGCAAATATCCAGTGGAAGAAAAATTATAAAAGTAAAACAATCTGATTATTTCTTGTTGGATGTGAGGGTACAAAAAGGTGATTATGGGCTGATATATAATATAATGATCATAAGTGTGAGTAAGAATATCGAGCTGCGAAATAAGATAAAATTGAGAAAATGCTTAAATTTCTAGTTATGCTGTACTACCTTCTAATAGCACTTAAAAAATTATCAGTTATACTAAAGATAAAAACGATACCTACAATTAGGCGCAATATTCAATAATCATTATTATTTAAGTCTTTTTTAAATTTTTATATTTATTTTTAAATAATTTCAAAGAATTCGTTGGTACATTACTGACATCTTACGTTATCATTAGTTATGCAAACAAGGAAAAACGTTAACTTTGGTTGCGCCGAAGCTATAATACTTTCACAAGTACTAAGACTCCTTACAAGAACTTCATTCCGATCGTTCAATATGTATGTCAGCTATATGATAAAGTGATCTGATCTTAACCATTTCTTCGGAGATTGCATTATTGTCTTAGATAATAATCCATGCCAAATTTCGTGAAGATAAGTACCTCGTCAAATGAAAGAGTTTTCCATACAAGCACTTAATTCCGATCGTTCAGTTTGTATAGCAGCTAAATGCTATAGTGGCCCGATAGCCGTGGCCGTTCCGACAAATGAGCAGCTTCTTAGTGAGAAAAGGACAGGTCCTAGATGTATCATTGGAATCCTTGTATTAGTACCGCGGTCTTATTGTTTGGGTATATGTGAATAAGATTAAGAAAACTTTTACACAAATATTTTCTAATTAACAAAATTACGTCATATTTCAAAACTCTAGTTTTGCTTGTTTTTTTCTTTACTGTCTACACATAATATAATATTTAGAATAAATAAATTAGTCACTAACTCTAAAGTGAAGTTTATGTTTTTGTTACAAATCTAAAAAGTTTCTGCTGCATTTGATACCCACATTTTGCGCAAATATTTGCTTTTCCATCCATAGAAACCAATAAAAATCATTTATTGCCAAAATATTCATATACATGTTCATAATGCTCCTAACCTTCACAATTTTCTTCCTTTGCCACAGTAATAAAATGTGAACTAAACTATTTTCTCCCCTTTTTTGATCTCACTTTCAGTTTGTCACACATCATGAAATTGACGAAAAAATGAACCATTGAACCGGCAAATAAGGACCGAAGGGAATACTTTGTTGAAATTTGAGTAGACAATTACTTGTGATGAGAAAATAAAACACCGCCAACAACAACAAGAAAAATAAACCAAACAAAAATCAGTACTCTGAGAAAGTAAACGAATTGGCAGCAAAACAAACAAATCACCAAAGAGAATCGAAATAATCATAGTTTGTTTGAAAGCAACTACAGAGAGAAGTAAAGCAAAAAATCAAGAAAAAACATAAAATAGTGCACACAAGCAGCGAAAAGACAACGAACATCTGTTGTCAAATATAAATGAGCAGTGCTTTCAAAGAGACGGGATTTTATTTTGAAATAGTGAAGGAGTGGCCAAAAATTGACAGCTGAACGAAGTGCAAAATGAGCAGAAACGACTGCTGTAATCTGTGTGTGCATGAAATGTTATGAAGCGCACAAGTGCCATTTTTCGAGCAAATATTATGAGTGAAGCTTTTGCAACAAAAACAAAAACTAATTGGGAATGAACAAATCATAGGAGCGAAATTTTTTTGTGCATGGCAGATTGCGAATAAACAATTAATTATGGAATTAAATGGATAATAAAATATAATGAAATAAAATGAAATAAAAAACATAAAAGAAAATAAAATTAATTTAAAAAAATTAAATAAAATAATAAAATATAATATTATAAATAAAGTAAAGTAAAAAATAATATAATAAAAAAAAATTAATAAAATAAAATGAAATTACGTAAAGTAAAATGAAATAAATTAAAATAAAAAAATAAATAAAATAAAATTAAATTAAGTTAAAGTAAAGTTAAGTAAAATAAAATAAAATCAAAATAGCAAGAACCAAAATAAAATAAAATAAAATAATAAAATATAATATAATAAATAAAGTAAAGTAAAAAATAATAAAATTAAATAAAATAATAAAATAAAATAATAAAATAAAATATAAAAAAAATAAAAAAAAAACGAAATAAAATTAAATAAAGCAAAATAAAATAAAATAAAATGAAATTACGTAAAGTAAAATGAAATAAATTAAAATAAAAAAAATAAATAAAATAAAATTAAATTAAATTAAAGTAAAGTTAAGTAAAATAAAATAAAATCAAAATAGCAAGAACCAAAATAAAATAAAATATAATATAATAAAATTAAGTAAAATAATAAAATAAAATAAAAAAAATAAAAAAATAAAAAAAACAAAATAAAATAATATAAAATAACATAAAATAAAATAATATAATATAAAATAAAATAAAAGAAATTTAAACAAAGTAAAGTAAAGTAAAATAAAATAAAATAAATTATATATAAAATAATAATTACAATAAAAAAAAAAAATTAAATTAAAAAAATTACTTGAAGGTTTTAACTAAATATTTAGTACTTAATTATATAATAAAAATATATTACAAATTACCTCAAAGTGAATAATATTTCCAAAGTATTTTTTTTGTTAACAAAGTTTAAATCATAAACGAGTATTGTGCTTAATATTAAACTGAATGCTGCGAAAATAGGACAATATTAAATATTACTCGTAATAAAGACAGCTTTAACTTAAAAAGCACAACTGTAATTTAAAACTAATAGAATTTATCTTTACAGATTTAAACAAATATACCACTATCTATGCAACATAAACCAAAAACTATTAAAACAGTTTACGATTAATAAAAATATACATTGTGTATATGTAAATTATTACGTAAATATATGTGCGCATGTAGTGGTGCGCGAAAATTGAAAGTGTTTTGCGGCAGGAAATTATTAATAATGCGCGCGCTGTGGCCGCAGATTTAAGCTAATTAATTTGTATGCGCTTGTAATAGCTTACAATATACAGCAATTACAAAAACAACAACTTTAACAACAACACAAAGGCGGCAAAAGCTGCAGTAACAGATTTCGAAATTACAAAAACAAAAATCAAACGGTAATTATTAGCAGAAAATCCATAGTAGGGCAGCGGATGCAACGCATCTGTCAGCAGACGAAGGCTGCATTTATTAGTTGTTCACCGCAGAACCATAATCAGCTGCCTGCTATAACGCGCGACGCAAGACCACATAATTCAAATAAAACACGCATCCGCCACACAGAATTATCAGCGCGCTGCAGACGGCGAACTGTGTAAGTGTGTGCGTGTGACTGTGAGACGGAAACTGCGCGAGTGAAATTTGTGGCATTTGAATTTTGCAAATTGAATATAACAGCAATACACAGTGCTGCGGCATGCAACTAAAGTGTTGAACGCGCGTGTAAACAGTTATGTCTTAAATTATTATTTGCGAAATGGCAATTTAAGGCAACAGCATAACCAAAGGGATAAAGCATACATGCTTTTTTGCTTAAAGCCGAGTGCCGTCGAAACAAAAGTGTGTGTATCCGTTAACTGAGGGCCGCGCAGACAAAAGAAAAAAGAAAATAATCTTAAGCTGTAAAAGAAGTGTGAACATCCACACACAAAAACTCAGTGTGAAAGAGAGTAAACAAAAACTATCTGCTCTAACGGCTACACGTCCTTCGCGTCGCAAACGCAACTTTCGCTGGATGTCTGTGCGCGCGTCGCGTCCGCCTGTTGGTCTGTCATAAAATATCAATTTGTGATTTTTCAATTTTGCCGCCAACAGAGAAACGCAAACGTGCTGCCGCAAGAGCGCGTCTCGTCGCCCGCATCTTTCACGAGCGCTCGATCATTTATTAGCCGTATTAGACGTGCCACACATCCTAAGTAGCAGCGTTGGCGGTGTGTGTGTGTAAGAAAACTAATAATTTGGCTAGGAACGAGTGTGGCAAGTGCGAAAAAATAAACATAAAACCAAAACAACAACAATTACAAACTAGTATAGTTATACTGTATACAAACTTAGTGGTGTTTGCTTGTGGTGCGTATCTTAACCGCTGCAGTCTGTGGCAACATTGCGGCGAAACGTGCTCGCATTAGCTTAAGCCACAATTGGCAACACACAAACATACAAACACACATAATAACATACGTTTGCGCGCCGCTTAATCCATACAATTCATTTGCTGCGCCAAGACAACGTGCAACACAACTTGACTTTGCCTGACACTTGGCGAGCGCGCCGTCTTGAAGCTCTCGTCTATTCATCTGCCTGCCGGTCGCTTGATTGAAGCGCTTCGGTGTATTGCGGCAGTAAAAACGGGCGACCAAATGTTTGCTTGTAATTTGCGGTCAATGAAATTGCCTCTTAGCCGCACCCTTGGAGGCTTTGTGTCGTCGTACGCCTCCGTTGTGGTTTCCGCGTTATCGCTGTCGACACCCACGTTGCAGGCCTGCAAGTGTGACGCGCGTGAGGTGACGATGTCAACGTCGGCGCGGCACACACACAGCAACGGCTCGGCGCGTAGCCAACGCCAAGTGCGGTGCGGTGGCAGCAGCAATTGTGGTAACGGGATTAGCAATTTTACGCAATGCTTAATTACTTGCGGATTGCTTTTGCTCTTGGCTGCCGGTAATGGTAAGTCCCTTTGCGTTTTTCCAACTAACTACTTACGTGCACTTTAATTTAATGCTTATCGATTTTGTTTCGTAATTTTTGCGAAAGAATACTTTCTTTTAAGCCCTTGGTATGTAAGTACAATGTGTTATATAATCTTAATGTAAACAAAGTAGTTAAATTAATTAAAAATTTCCTTATTCTTCTTAGTTGTAATATCCTAAAAATAGTTTAGGAAAAATTGGTTATCAAAAGATCTATTCCATTAAGGAAGTATAAAACACTTTAAGAGGCACACATAGTGCGACCTCCTTAGCAAGTTGATTTTTGGGAATGTTTTTTGGAGAAAACTGGATATAATACATTTACATATACATGATTCGTGAATACTCACTCAAAATTTCAGAAAAAAAAACATTTTTTTAGGTGGTATTTTATTAGTTCCTAAGTTACTAACAGAAAAAAGTGTGCCCTTTAAAGTCGAGACCTGAGTGTCATTTTTTAATCATTTATATTTATTGACGTTGATTACTTTCTGGTTTCTTAGCTATGAAGCCTTGCTGATATGAAAGCAGCCACGCTCTTTCCACCACCTTATCAGAACTGGATTTTTTAAAGTAAGCCAAGACACACAAAGCTATAGTAGAGTATTTTTTTTTTAAAACAATCATAGTTTTGACCTTCTACGGCACAATAGTCGGTGTTATGTTAGTAATACATATGTATAGATTCTTTCAAGTCTAGAGGTAACCTTGCAAGACACATCACTAACCACTTAAATGATATGATCATTAATAGCGAACCCGTTACCAGCTGCAAGTATTTCTACAATGGCTTTGTTCTAAAGAAATTGGTTTTCATCGAGTATGTGGGCACCTAGGTCCAAGAATGGTCGAGGATAATTGGTACCTTCTTCTAGATCACAAATATAATGATATTCATACTTTCGGTTATATCGAAATTCAAACTAATATGTGCGGTGTCTTATAGAGATTATTGTTAGCATATTTCCTTGAACTATGAATATTGAACTGTTGTGGTTTCCGAATATAATGATAGTCGTCCATCCGTTCCACTAGTCCTCATATATCTAATATAATAATTTTTGTTTTTTATTTTATCTGTGCCGGTAGCCACATTTTTTTAGAAGTAATAAGATTTGGTGCCTCCATATGTTTTGTCAGAATATGAGATAATTGCGAAAGAATCTCGCATTCTGTTGCAGCCGAAATTATGCCTTCCCTACTTATAAACATTGTCTTTAAAATTAATATATTCTTATATAATTAATATACGAATTGGTGCGAGTGCTTGACCTAGAGACCTGACCACAGAGCCGAATACTTTCCATAAACTTGATGATCGTGGCTACATGTACAAGTAAGGTGCTCTGAAGATTGCTATAAATAGTAAAAAAAATGTAAATACTTTTACAACTTTTGGATGAACTTTGTTCCGAAGATAATTTACTATTAAATTATAAGAGAATTTGTTGCACGAACTAATTATTGATCACTAGATATAAAAAGCTAACCTTTTTTATACTTTTCCTGTCAACTTTTTTTGAATTTAATGTCAGGATATATTTATTTCAAACTTCAAACTCTTTTGTTTAAGTTTGAAACATTGTTGAGTGCCACATATAATTATACTATACTATAAAATATATGTATATAATTTTGAACCATAGCGTGAGCGTGTGAAAAGTACACTTAATTATTGTGGCAAGCAAATATAAAAGTAAAACAGTGTTTATGTACAATTAAACTTTACGGTAAATAAAAACTTTTTATGGAAATCCACAGAAATTTGGTTTAGAATTTAAATAGCGCAGCTGTTCCTTTATCATAGTCAAAAGTTCAAACCAAAAATATTTGGTGAATTGAAATTGCTGCAAATGCACATTAAAACATTGAGCAAAACACAAAAAAACAATAACAACAACAACGAAATTGCGGCGTAAACTGTTAAATATCCGATAGAATTTGTGTGAAATTATTTGTTATGGCAATTGCTGTTGCTTTAGTTGTTTTATAGTTGTTATTGCTATTTTTGTTGTTTTTATTGCTGTTGTTATCGTTGCAACAAATAAGCCTCAGTAAATTACGTCGAGTTATGTGTCTGCAGCTGCGGCTAGTGCGTGGAGCCTTGGACTGCAGCTTCAACCCATCTCGGGAAGCATCGGCCGCGGCAGGAAAGCTCGTTGCTGGGGGAAATTAATCACGATTATAATTTTAGCTGAATTATGAGCTAAAGCTGCTAAACAACCAGCCAACCAAACCGAATAACAACAGCAGTAATTCTGCTAAGGCATGCCACAGCACCGCAAGCTAGCCCACGAGCTCAAACAAAAACAACAGGAACAAACAGCAGCCTTTTATCGTTCTCACAAAGTTGTAGAGCTCGAATAAACGCCGCTCGAGTGGGCATTGCATTGCATTATGATGATAGTTGTAGGAGGTTTTGTTGTAGTTTTTGCTGTAGTAGAATCGAAACAAAAATCTGCACAAACACAGAGAAGTTCTAAAACAAACACATCAATGCTAACAAAAACAAGCGAACAAAACTTTGCTGAATTCACTGTATAAAATATGGAAAAAACTAACAGCAACTATGACAGCATTAAAGAAACAATAGCAATCATAAAAAAATAAAATCTCTGCTCACCACCCACACAGTTAGACAGCGGCCTCCGGAGTATTTCAGAAGTTCAATTTTTACTCACTTTTTATTTACTGGCGGTTTTCAACTGTACGCTTGCTTTATCATTTCGAAGTGTGGTGAGAATGCAAAAAGTTGAAGTACTGGTACTGGTAATGTAAAAAAAAGGACTATTCTTTTTGGTCTTCTTTTTAGTCTAAACGTTTTCTGTGTTGTTTAAATGGGAGTTTTTGTCTAAAGAACTTAACCCTCTTTACAAAGAGATACAAATATTATATAATGAATATTAAATAATTTTTGTTCTGGTTCTAAATTCGTTAATTTAGTGAATTGTTTACAAATATAATTTTTACCACCACAAACAAAGCCTTAGGTTGTCAAGTATGTTCGCCGGGATAGATAACCCATAGCTAAAATAAAACATAATTACTGAACTCGACATGTGAAACCTTAACTGTGGCTTAGACTCTGTGTCATTGGGCTTCTTCCAACCGAACCTAAACATTACCCAAATTTGACATTTCAAGATTTCGTCCGCAGTAGTTTTGTAACTATGAAGTTCAACTTTTTTCGCAAAAGTGTCGCCCCAACATTTTCACAATCAGAAAGTGGTTATTCATATCACCGTTTCAAAATCTGATTAATGACCAAGTGCCTAATTTATTATGATGATGTTCACATAAAATTTGATTTCACTTTTGACACGACAACAGCTAGTAGACAGGAAAAGCTGGCATTGTCGAAATAATATAAGGCCACTATGCTTCTCAAGTGCTTTGAGTGATAGTAGAAATATAAGAAAGAAATCAAAGCACGTCTATCGCTTGTTATTTAAAAAATTTGAAATCAACTCGAATAGCCATCACCTAGGAGCAATATTTTTGATAAAAATTTTGCAATAGAAACTGTGTTCCACATATTGGGTAGTTGGGGGCTTGAAAAGGTAAAGCACGAATTTGACATTTTTGGGTCATAAGGTGGGCCACCTCTAATTCACTATTTGTGCAAATTGGAAAGTGAAATAATCATATGAAATTTTAAATTGTATTATATGGAAAGTAGGCGTGGATTTTGTCCATTTGTTTTAGCCCATTTTCGTACTGTAAGATAGGAATGTCAGAAGAATGTTACTTGCCAAATTTGGTTGAAATCGGCCGAGTATGTCCCGAGATATGGGGTTTGATCTAAATATGGGCGGTGCCACGCCCATTTAATCCTACAAACCTTTCTTGTATAATTTTAGTTATAAAATTTTATGTCTCTGGCGCATTTAGTTATTGATTTATAGCCCGTCATATAGAGAGAAGACAGGGTTATAATACGATTAGATCTATTTTCTGACTGTGGTAAGGGTTCTTAAAGGATTTGTCCCTAGGAATTTGGTTATTGTAGCTTTAGTAGTTTAGAAGATATATACATTAAACCAATTAGAGGGCGAGGCAACGTTCATTTAAAAAAAATTTTTGACTACAATTGCCTATTGTCCCCCGTACAAAATTATTGGTTTATATCCTAACTAAATGCTTAGCTATGGCATTTTATGGGTTTTCGATTAATGGCGTTTTGTGGGCGTGGAAAAGGTTCTCACTTTTTTGCTAAGGAACACGTGTACCAAGTTTCATTAAGATATCTTACAGACGAACAGACAGTTACCCGGTTTTCAACACGTTTCGGCACCCTGATCATTTATATATATAATCCTCGATACATGTATGTGTATCTCGATTAATTTTAAGTGATACAAACAATCGTTAGATAAACTATTATACCCTGTAGCAACATGTTGCAAGAGTATAAAAAATTATTGTATATATACATATAAGAAGTGTGCTGAGATAGTGTAGGGCAGGAAAACATTTAACTGTTTGATGCATAGACAGTTTTACTAACCAGAGAAAACCTTAAACCATATGCAAGGTTAAGAGATTTACGTTCGATGAATTCAACTCGTTAAGATAGTTGCTGATCTCATATCTCTACTATTATAAAATATTGCTAGCTGTCTTCATATAGTCTTTATAAGACTTTAATAAGGTATCCGCATACACTCTAATTCATTAAACTCGATCATTTTTTTGTTACTTCTACATATAGCTGTTTTTCTTAACAAGAGAGTAGTGCGCAAAGATAGAGAGCAGAGAAATGGCGAAGCGATGCCAGCTGCAATTAAATAAAGCAGACTAATAAAGATATCGATACAGTTTTATTTCTATGAAAATACTATTGAATAATGTTGCGATGAAGTGAGATGACCATATGGTATGACTTTTACAAAGTAAATGAGAAATTTTTAAAAATAGTTTTATAAATTTATTTTTATATATACCTATATCAATTGAAAAGAATACATATGTATGTCT